GCCGCGTTGCTGCCCGCCGCCAGGAAGAAGAAGATGGCCGTGACGATCACGCGGACCCTCGCCGCTTGCGTGAACCGGGGTTCGACCCAGTGCTCAGGGCAGCCAGAGGCTGAGATGTTGATGTCCCCATCCACGGCAGGGCGGCGGGGAGATGCGGGGAGCTGCTCATCACTCATCCCCTGCCAAAACGCAAGCGGCAAAGTGAACGCCCTCTTAGGGGCTGCGTAGTGTGCTGCAGCTTCAGTATAAGGAGGAATGGGGAGATGGTGGGGTCTGCACCGGAGGCACCACCAGCAACCTGCCAGTCCCAGTCCATCCCCTCTGTGTTGCCCATCTTGCCGAGCCGCCGCGCATCCCGGTTGCGGTGACACTGCCCGGCTGCCCTTTTTGGCTCACCCCTGCCGTAGCTATAGTGATTGCTCACACAGACATATATTTTTAGCTCTCTGCGAGGCAGTTGAGCATCTGGGAAGCAGGAGCGGTGGCCAGGATCATGGGACGAGCCACTGCCTGCCAGTACCCGGTCAGGATTGGGTCACACCGGAGCTGGCTGAGCCTGTGCCGGGGCAGCCATGCTCGGTACAAGGACTCATCCTTCCAAAGGGGCTTTGCAAGCAGGGCTCAGCTTTTTAGAAACCCCACGGCACTTTCCATTAGTGTGTTAAACCTTAATGGTCCACCTCCATCTCCAGCACCAGGTCCAGGGCCATGGGTGGGAGCTCCTGGGGGTGGCCAGGAGGGGAGAAGGGGGATCCCACTCTGTCCGGCGACTGACGGTGGCTCTTGGGAGAGGATCACAGTGGCATTTAGGAGCCTGGACCTTCCCAGGACCTGGGCAGCACCAGCTCAACACCTCTGTCCCTCTGCTTTTGGGAGGCGAAGCAGGAGGAGGAGGTGAAGGTAGAAACGCACCCACGTGGGGGGTGGCTAGGGGCTGACGAGCAGCGTGGTGGTCCCCCCCAGCTTGATTTAATTGTCCTTTTTTCCAGAGCACAACCAGCTCGGGGACAACACACGTTTCAAGGGCAAATAGTCCCAACTCTTGGGGACACGAGCTGTTAACAGTCCCAGCGGCAGGCAGGGTATGTCTCTTACTGTTCCAAGCACCTTCTGGTTTGCTGATACCAAAATAAAGCATTCCCCACCTTTGCGCAAAGAACACAAGCAGCAGAGATCAAATCGGGCTCCCCAGCTCTATGGGATGGAGATGCCAACACCTTGCAGCAAGCTGCCTTCCTCCAGCCCCACCTCTTCCACCCCGAGCCCCTCAGAGCGAGCCCCCTTGCTGCCTTCACCCCGCTCCCTCCCCAAAGACCAACCCAACAAGCAAGCAGCGGAAAGAACAAGCAGTTAAAAAGTACCGAGCTGCTTGCTGGCTGCCTGAGAGAAACAAGGGGAAACCCATGTCCAGATCTGGATTTGTCCCAGCTGATGGGAACGTACCTGGCATACGCATGCCCTGACGCAGAGAGAAGATGCTCCTTGTCTTTCCCCACGGGTCTCCCACCGCCGCGGTGCCGAGTCAGGATGCCCCAGCACGGCTTTGCATCACATCCCTGCAACAAAACCCTTGAAGCAGCAAAATTTCTCCTTGCTGGCGGCCGAGCTGGGAGCTATGCTGTTTTTAGCGCAGGTGTACGAAGGCATCTGGAGATGGCAACGCTGATGCAAACATCCCCTGTGCTGGCAAACCAGGAGCGGGGTACGCGGAGGTGAGTACCCACCGGCAGCCCGGCTCAAGCAGCTGCCGGTGTTTCACCCCCGGGTGGGTGCCAGCACCCCTGCCCTTGCGGGCTTAACGAGCTGCCTGCTTTCAGGCTTAATGAGCAGGGCAGCGAGGATGATGACAAAGCTGCTGTATTGCAAGAAGCGGCCAAAATTCAAGATGTTGTGGCCAAATGTGGCCCCATCAGGGACAAGTGCCAACACTCCCTGCATCGGTTTTCTATAAATACAGGAAAATGAGTTAATTATCCCTGGAGTTGGTGATGAACACCCCGTTGCTCAGACAACCAGGAGATTCGCAGCACACGCGGACACACACGCGTGCCCCGGCGATGCTCCTGGACCGCACAGGTCTGTGGGAGCATCACGGATGAACACAGGTATGTGCTTGGACTGGAAATGCTGTAAGGAGGGAATTAATAAGGAGAAGCTTGGGTCATTTTCCCATTTTAATGAATACACTTTTTTTTTTCCTGCACCCTATCAGTTCCCACCTTGCTCTTTCTGTATTTCTTTCAGCGTAATGCAGTGACAGCCTGATGCGCGGTGCGAAACCCTGGGAGGGACAAAGAGCTCACAAGGGCTTAAAAAGATCCAATATGAAATGCAAGGGCCGGGAGGGAAACTGAGGCCACCCTGCTCCTCTGGCCAGCAAAAGTAGAAGAGCTGGGGGGATGACAGAGGGCCAGCCCCAAGCCTTGCGGGGGCCAGCACCGGCAAACACGCTCCCAGGGACAACACGGGGACTTTAATCACATACAAACAGACCTTCACATCTCCTGGGCTATTAAATTAAGAAGTAGATGGCATACAAGTGGACCGCAGGTCCCAGGCTGGTGGTGGTAGCTCTGTGTGGTTCCCCAAGAGGAGAAGGTTCATTTTCTGGGATAAGAGGTTTTCCATCATTAAACCTATTCCCATTTATTTTGGGGAGGAAATGCCCGAGCTCTGCAGGGGGATTGCACCATCCCTGAGGCTGCTCTGCTTCCAGGAGTGCTCCTGGGCACAAGCCAAAAAGAAGGAC